TATTTAGCATTGGTAATCAGATACCGGTAGCACAAAAAATAATGATATCATATGGCCACCTAAATCCTATCTGTTGATAGCAACACAGTTCACTGCCACAAACATCTCTCCAAATTTGCCAGTCATCTCTCTATCTCCCTACCTCTCTCTCTCCCTCTCACCCCCCATTCCTTCTTCCATTTCTCCTTCCCTCTCTCTCTTTTTTCCTAATTTTCTTTCTTTTCTACCTCCCGCCCTCTCTTCCTCTCTTCCTTTCTCACACACTCCCTCTCTTCCCCACTTCTCCTTCCTCTGTCTTTCCTTCTTTTCTTCCCTAAGAGTCATATTTAATCATTATTTTTGAGAAAACCTCTAGATATAGCTCCCTTTATTTGATAGATTATGTCATTAAAAGAAAACTGAATACTTGTCAAAACAATTTTGCTTCAGAGCGATTTCACTTAAACGTGATGAAATATGAAAAGTATTTTGTTATCAGATTTCTCTGACACTAAACTATAAATTACAAATTCTATGCTTATTAATTCACAATTTTAGAAAATAAACTTGGAGCTGTATGCATATTTTATTTTTAAAGGCTTAATTTGCATATTTTACACCTCTATTCATCTATAATATCATGGTATATTTTTTTGCTCTCTAAAATTAGCAGTCAAGTTGCTTAATTTTTTAAATGGCTACATTTTATAATTTTTTAAAAAATTAAAGTAATTTAACTTGCAGTTTTTGACTAATATAATTTACTTTGAAAAAAATTATTTTCATTTTAAAATGGTAGCATCACCTATTTTCTAAAATAAGAATTTAATTGAACTTGTGCTGAAGGAGAATGGAAGCTAAATATCGAATATGTGTTTTTGAATTCAAGGTCTAAAACTGTGAAAAGCTAACTATTCAAATGCTATGTCCTTATTTCCTTTCTTGGGGACAATATTTCAACCATTGCATGTCTAAGGTTTGACCTGCATCTCAGAAATTCAATACTAAGTTCTCCTAGAGTCATAAAATGCTTTTTACTTCATTTTGTCTAACTTCTGCTGCTTCACAGCTATAATTATAATTTCCAAATTTCAACCTCTGTTAAAAATGAAGCTTCCTTATCACATTTCATCTACATTATCCATCAAGAAATCTACATTCATTAAGAACCAATTACTGTAGGTGCAAGGGTTAAACAAACTTATATTTAGCATACAGGGGCATCAATGGTCTTTATTTCGGGTCTCCATGATGCAAAGTTGGAATAGATAAACGTATTGCTTAGATCATAATCGCCACCTTCAAATTATTTGCTTTATTTCCTTTATTTGCTCTGTCCCTCACCCTATTCTACATACTCTTGCTTGAGTTCAGTGAACATTTATTATTTATTGGCTGCTCAGCATCCTTTCCCTCTTCTCTTTTCATTGGACTCCAATTTCTTCAGGGGAAATTACTTCTCTCATTGTGAGGGGCTTTGGAAGAAGGATTTAAATCAAAGTTCTTTGTTCTTCTCTAGCTAAGAGATGGATATATGACCCAAACAAGGTCAACTGGACTCTCTCTTTCAGGACTTTAAATTTTGAATAGTTACACAGGATGGAAAAAAAAAAAAAAGAGTTCCATAAAGAGACTCGATTATTTCCTGCAAACTAGATGCCCAGGCATGTTGAGATCCCTTTACTTTCTCTAAGCCTTTTCCATTGCCTTCATGCTAATCCCAGTAAATTTATTGTCTGTTTGATTTAGTCAGAGGGTGTTTTCTGTAGCTTGCCTCCTGAGAACCCTAACTTACAGACAACTAAACTACATTTGAAGATTTTCCTTCTTTGCTTGATATACTTTAAGGATTGCTACTGCCCGCAGGCCATAATCGAAACTCCCAAGTCCGGCAAGGATTGATTCCCATTTTTCAGCTTCGCCCCTCTAGTCAACTTTACCAATTTCTTCCTCATCATATACTCTTAATTTCAAATAATAAAATCACAATTTCTATAACACACTATATTGTTTCCCATTTCAGTGAAAAGTACAGTTTGTTTCCTTTCATTTAATCTACCTGTTAATTACAACTTGTCCTTTAATGGTTGGCTTAAGTTTTACCTTTTTCAAGAAGCTATTCCTGACATCTGTTCTCTTCTCTGACTTAGTTAGAAGCCTTCTCCCTAAAACTCAGTCCCTAGAGCATCACCCAAAGCATGCCTAGGGAAGTAGAAAACCATGGTGGTTAAAGGTGAGGACTCTAGAATCAGACTGCTTAGGTTCAAATTCTATTGTTGTATCTTTAAGACTTGACCTCGGGCAGGTTATTCAATCTCATTGTGCTTTAGTATCAATCTCACAGTGTTGTTGTGAGCATTAAGTAATACACATGATGTACTTCGATCAGTGACTGGCATATCATCAGTATTAAAAATGTGCTAGGTATTATCCTGAAATTTATTTCTATCATAGTGCTATTATTTTTTTCCCTTTACCTTCTTTAATCTGTGCATTCCTATCTTGCCCAGCTCTGTATTTCCTGCTTAGTAGTAGCTTAATAAAATCTTGTTAAAAATGTATGAATAAATAGGCATTGATATGTTTTATAGTTTATAAAGCCCTTTTGGAATATTACTTCATTTCTCACATCTAAAACATTAAAGTTAGGGTTGTTTCATTTAAACCTTTACATAGAGGAAATATTTATTTCCTAATATTATAATAAATATTTCTCCAAACTTACTTTCTTTTCTTGTTCCCCTCTACATACACACATTTGTTTAATGTTTATTTACAGTTATTTTACTAAACCTTAAGTGATTGTAACTATAAAAGATGAGAACTAATAATGCCTTTATAAATTATTATTTTTTAATATGAGGGGAAGAATCAGGAAAAGAAAGCATCCGTACTATTTAGCAAGAAAAGAAATACATACACACACATGCAACATTTACAAATCCTGGCTTTCTGTGACTCCAGACATTTCACTTGAATTTCTCTAAATTAATTTTGGACTTATATTTAAAGCGTATCACTTTAAAGAAGAATCAAATTAGTTGTCCTGTCTGAAAAAGACAAATGTATTTGGAGAACTCTGAAGACCTACTCAGGTCAGTCAATGCCTTCCTTAAAGGCCAGGCTCACAACCCCTTCACAAGCGGGTGTGGACTTTCTCTCCCATTCTAATATCTAGTGGCTCTTACAAGAGGCCATAATGTCAATGGCAGAATAAGGCGCAGATGTGGAAATGCATTCTAATTTTTATGTGATATTATTATATGACATACAGTTTGTACAGTATAAATGTCATGAGTAGGCAGATTTACATAGATTTTATTGCAGAACCTAATATTAATTACTAACATTAGTTGAATACTTGCAGTAAGCAAGGCAAGGTGGGAAGCATTTTTCATGTACTATCTAATTGAATCCATATGACAACCTATGAGGCAGATAGTGCCATTATCCACACTGTACAGATAGATAAACTCAGGTTCGGGGAGGGCGAGTAACTTTCCCAAGGTTGCACAGCTGCAGTAGCAGAGGCAAGCTTTGAACCCAGACAATCTAACTCCAAAGCCCTTGCTTTAAACATTATAACATACTGTATCTTCTGGTTAGTAATAGTTCTGGAAATGCTGGTATAACAGCATAATACTGTGACAGAATGTAACTTTTGTTTCTGTATCAGCGCACTGCAAGTATAAAATGCTTAGCATAGTGCCTGACAATAGACTATATATACAACATACACATGTATATGTATTTTATATTACCAAATGGTAGCCGCGTTTATAGTTAATACCAGCAGGCAGTGCTTTGCAACCAAACAGACTTAAATTTGAAGCTAGGGTGTGACTATGAGGCTCAATAACTTTTTCTGAAAAATATGGCTACTAGTACTTGCTATAAAGCAGTAGTAAACAAAGTGTGTGTATATATAGCACACACATCAAATATCATTATATACACACTTATCCATCACTCTGTGGTGAATGTGAATGTGGAATCTGTGTGCTCTGTACACAGAGGAGGAAACCAAGAATCAGAAAATGATTTGACCACAATCATGTCATTTGCAAATGACAAAGAAAGCCCACTGAATTCAGGTCTTCTGAGTCTAAGCTCAAGGTACTTT